TGGGTTTTGGTGAGGTTGTTTTGTTTTGCTTGTGATATGGGTTTTGGTGAGGTCGATTTGTTTTGCTTGTGATATGGGTTTTGGCATGGTTGATTTGGGGTGTGCTTTCAGAATGGGTTGAAAACCATAGGGGGGAGTATAGCATTTGAGATGTGGGGTATGCCTATGCTTGCTCCAACATCCCTTAAACATGGAACGAGGCGATCTTAGAAGACATGACCAAGGCGAGCGACACACCTTGGGCAGATCGCCGCGGACATCACCGCAGAGCAAGATTCTCACCATCGCAGCATTCAATGGAGCCGTGGGCTAGACTTGCATGCAGCCTTTTGGTTCGAAGTGCAAGGTCTGGCGCATTCTTCATAGGTCATGTTTGTTGAAAACGGTTCTGTACGACTCTTAGCTCAGCCGTTTGTTCTGCTGTCAGGAGAATGTGGGAAGCAAAAACTACAAGCACAGCACGACGGTGTCTTGCTAAAGTGCAGCTCCCATGCGAAAAGACGCTGCGCTCTGGCAAATTCACGGACGAAGCTTGCGCTTGCGCGTTTCCTATGGGTGACTTTAATGGTGACGGATAGTAGCACATTCTGACGCAGGGGGCAAAGCGCCTGCCGGCCCCGCCCAGCTCCAGACCCGCAAAGAGCAGCTGCGACTGCAAAGGGGCGAGAGGGCGCGAGCGCTGGCTTCAGGGTAAATGCTTATCATGTTTTCCCTCCTGCACTAGATGCCTGCCATTCAAAGCTGTGAGGAAAGACGCAGCTTCACGACTGAGCTGTTCCGAAGCTAGTCCATCTTAAGTTACTGGTGGATTCTTCTCCCTTACTGTGGAAAGCCTGGCCGCCGGTTCCCAGCCTGCAGAGGCCCAAAACCGCGCTGTAGGTCCTGACTCTCAGCTTGCAGCCATCGGATTGAAAGGGGCTCGAGATGGAAGGGTGGCAAGCTGGTAGTGTAGTTCTGGGATGTTCTAGGCACAAAAACACAGGACATGTGGATGAGCAGGGAACCTTCGGCATCAGGGACAGCGAAATGGAGTTCGCGTGGACAGACCTCGGCATAAGAGGATCACACATGCTTCCATACTGAAACTAAACTACCTGCAAGTACTGAGCTTCAAATTTGAGCCCAGCCACATCAGGGGAGATGGCTGCGAGCCGAAGCCCATGCGCAGCATCCCCTCCTGGACCGCCATATCGCGATCTCTTTCTCCGGCCGAAAAGAACAAAAGAAACTGCAAGGCTCCTCTAACAAGGAGCCGTTGGACCTCGGGCGAAGAGCCGGAAACAGGGGATTCTCTGGCCAGAGGGGGCCGTCCAAAGCTACAGTTGCACGTGAGAGCTCGATTTTCTGTCAGCTTGCAGGGTCTCGAGCAAGCCGCCTCACTGGCGGGTCCCAAGACATGTCGTGAAATGTCGTTCGCCACAGCTGTCGGGTGTAATGCTCATGATCAAAGCCTCGCGCAGACGCATGACGTGTGCTGCGCTGCACGTGACCTTCTTCACAACACATCGCAAGATCTGGGATGTGCCTGTCGCGCAGTGCATCGTGCTGCGGTTGTCCCAAATCACCAGGTCTCCGGGTTGCCAGCGCCATCTCACCACAAACTCGGGTCCTCCAGGGCAGATCTGGCACGAAAACAAACAACCGCTTAAACTGGCTGCTGCACCCGTGACTGCATGTGGAGCAATCCCCCGACAAACTGTTCGGAAGGTCCTGTGGCATGGGGTAACCACTTCCGGAGCTCATCAACAGAAGGGTCCTCGTATGCCTGGCATCTAGCAGAATCTAGCAGGAGCCACTATGTAAGACAAAACTGCTTGACTTCTGTCCGGCCTCCGCACCCTCTGCCCTCTCCAGCAGAGATGCGGAAGGCCCATCGGCACCTCGTCGCTGCACATGGAACACGCTGCTGTTGGCTCCTGCCAGGTCATCTTGGTGCCTCGTGGAATCATGGAGGCTCCAGTTATGAAAGCTCCAAAACAGTCCGTACAGCGACTTCCGCCCGGTGACCGGGTGTGTCATCACCAGCGGCACAGCCATCAGCGGGGTCTGCCGCCTCTGCTCCTCGCAACTTCATGCAACTTCTGGAAAGGGCTTGCGTCCCAAGGCTTTGTTCTACCTACCTCAACTCGAGGTCCAGGTCTTCTGATGTAGTTCATATTTGTCGATCCTCTGACCCAATCCCGGCCTCTACATTTTCCAACACCCTGGCCGGCCTCCTCCATGGTCGCATAGGTACCGGGCTTCCTGGCATTGTGGAGGGCATCGTGGTGCGCCTTCCCAGGGTGGAGACGAGGAGTTGAGGCCCTAGTGCTTGAGGAGTTCCCGGGCCCGGCCTGGCTGCAAACGGCCTCCAGGCTCTCCAACCTGATCCGATAGCACCGAAATTAGGTGCCCCACCCACACTCTCTTCTCTGCACTCCCTCTACCGCCTGCTTCTGGCTTCCAGTGGTAGCCTTTCGAAGGCGGTCGCAGCATCTGCAAAGCACGTGTCTCCGCCGCTAGGAGGCACCTCGATGCTGTACCTTAGATGATACGCAAAGTGTGTCCAAGATCCCCCAGCCGAACAATGAAGACTGTAGCTCTTTCTGGCTAACCGATTCCTTCCGAAATACAACAGAGATCCTGTTGGTGGGCGACATCGAAATGTGGCGTCGGTATGCCAACGGGGCTGTTGTGATGCCGGGCTGTACTGACAAACCTGCAGGGTGCATTGCGACCCTTGCTGCATAGTGAAGGTGCCAGCAAAAATCCGAAACCCTTTGGCCACAGCACAGCATGGATCCGGTGGGCGGTCGCGGCCGGTACGTGCCGTCCGTGTGCCAGATAGGCTTCCGTATGCTAGGGTCAAACTGGCAGGCCTGCAGGCTGTCATCATTCCTCCGGGTAGTCAACCGTGATCGGAATGAATGGCAGCAAGAAGAAACGTATTTCGGGCGGGCACCAACAGCAGTGACAGGGCGAGAACGACTGGGCATTGGGTGATGGGCTAAGGCCTCCACCCCCAGGAGCTGTCCAATCTTGCAAGCTCCCTGAGGAGCTCTCTATGGACACGAATGCCCCTCCGATGTCCTCGGAAGCTGCGCGCTGATTGTGAATGACGCATTGAGCTCGCCCGTGTTGGGGTCGCGACTGTTGCCGATCCTGTGCCCCAACGTGTTGTGAGGCTTCAGTGACGAAGTCCTTCCTTCGTAATTCATTTCTCCCGGTGAACAAGCAGCTCCTAAGAAGCACCAACATTAGCAAGACTGTCGAACGCGAGTCATAGCCGACAGCATCTACACGCTGCATGTCACACGGAGCAACAGCCAACTTCTGAAGTACACCCTTGAAACCCTTCACTTTCATGCCGAGAACATTCAAGAACCGAGCAATCGCCACATGATAGCAATAATAACGGAGAGACTAAAGCAAAAGTAGTCACTCTTGAAACAAAGCTCTTCTCATCATCCGACATCTGAAATTGGGAACAATCTCAGAATAGCAACTTCCGTCAACCCGAGCCTCTGGAGGCCGTGTTGCTGAGCAAGACCCGCAACAAAGACCAAACATCCCTCAACCCCGGAAGCATGCAACGCTCCAACAAAGAGATCCAAACCCTTGACAGTCAGGCAAATCCGAATAAAAGACTCCAGATCCGAAAAGCAGAATAAGAGACACAAACATGTGGAAACCTACGCTTCGGAACTCAAGCTAGAAAAGGGGATTCATACTCTTTCTGTGGGCTTTCGGGATCGGGACGGGACGTTGGAAGGACGTCCTCATCACGGCCCCGTTGTGGGTGCCGGGAACCAGAGCTTGGCTGCGCTGCGCGGCGAGCTGCGGCTCGCAAGCTCCAAAGGCGCTCGTCAGCTCCACGAGCCTAAGACACTATTATTATTATTATGATTATTATTATTATTATTATCAATGATATTGTTGCTATTATTCTTACTATTATTGTTACTATTATTATTGCTATTATCATTATTGTTATTATTACTACTCAGAGAAATGAAAGTCTCTGCGAGCGCATCTCCTCCTCTTCTTTGTACCACTACCACTTTGCCACGTTCTCGTTTCGATCTATCTACTTGTTTGTTGGAACTTCGGAGGTTTGGACCGTTCATGGAAACTTATAATTCGAGCTCGTTTGCCGTCCCGGAGCTACCGTCAGAGGCATCGATGCGGTTCAGGTGGGCATGGTAGTCAAGCTTCAGGTGCTGCAGGCATACCCATGCATACCCCATCATCTACTACGCGCGAAGCACCTGCGCAACGGCCGAGAATTACCTGAAGAGTCTCGAGATGTTTGTGACACGCGGCTCCTGCGCCTGAAGCCCACGAAGACCCCGGAGTGCCAGGAGACCGCCGCGTGCCGCCAGGAGCCGTGCGAGTGCACTGCGCCGAAGGGGGCAGCGGAGGTCCTGAGAAAATGCAAGCAACTGTGACCTGAGGCTTCGGATTCAGTCTAGCAGCCCGCCTGTCCTCCGTTCTGAGATTACACACCACTGCACCGAAGTGCTTCTTGATGGGGGACCACTGCACCAAGGGCCCATGAGGTGCCGGAGACTTGCGGTGCAAACGAAACCGCTTCGTCGCAGTCATGGCATGGCACGCAAACTAGGCGGTGCACTGAACAACTGCCCAAGCCGAAGGCATTGCAAACTTACACTTGCGATGTGCGCGATTGTTCCTGAGAAGCCTATAGGGCAGAGCCACGAAATTTCAGCGGTTGGATCTGGGAAGCTGCCAGTACGGAACACAAAGCTGACCCGCTACGCTGCCAGGGCCCGCGCTCGAGAGTGTAACTCCTTGGGCCAAGTTTTGACGAAACGAGACGAAATGTCTATGCAAGCGTGGTGATACCAAGCATGCTCGCTGATGCGCGCCGCATCAACCAGCATGCGAAGGAGGACTTTAAGGCTCAGAAGCATGACACTGCAGGCCACAGCCAGTGGAAGATGTGCACATGATCTCACTGCCATGCCCCATGGGCATGTGAACGACAGTCGCACTCAACTCTCGTCGACAAGCTGGAGGGCACGGGGAAAAAAATCGTCGCTTCTATGCTGTAAGCCCTGTTCTAGTCACTCTAGTCCCATCCACAACGAAGCTGCTGCCTTCGAACTCTTCGGCCCGGGCCCCATGTAGATGTCTGCAGTGCCCATACCCATGGAGCCGACTGTCGGGACATCCTCAGCCTGGGTCGCACGCCAAGCCTTGCTCACTCTGATGCCTCCACCCGTGCCTCTGAGCTTCCCCGAGTCCAGAAGTAGTCGGAGGCCAAGTTCAACACGATGAAGGCTGTCCTGTTTTGCACCCTTCTCACAGCTAGCGAAGGTCAAATCCTTGTTCCCCTTGCCTTGCCTCGCCTTACGCCTGTCATCCTGCCCCGACCCACGCCACAACCCACAACACAATCTTTTCTACAAACCTAATGATTGGTTTATATCATTATAAACAATATTAACTAATCTGCCTCTTTCATTCCTAAATTATCTATCTGCTTCTTCGTTCTATTATGTCGTGATACATTAATCCTTTGAATATCACAGTCGCACACATCGCAACGCACAATCGCCTTATTGTGTTCCCTAATGTCGTCCTTCTTTCTTTCCCTGTATTCCTTCTTCTTTGCTAAAACCTTGTCTATGTTGTTCTTCCGATAACTAGCATTCCTGTCCAAACATTTATTACACGTCTCATTGCTATTCCGATACTCTGACAATTCCTTCACTTTTAAACAGGCACAGCATTTCCTTGTTCCCTCATCCTCCGAATTTTCCATACTATCTAATGACCTTTTCCATGTAAATCCCCCTTGCCCTGAACTGGGAAATGACGCCCCTAGTAAGAAAAACCCAAAAGATCATAACCCTGACCCCCACCCTACACTTTCACCACCATTCCAAAACAGTATCCTAAAACCCACCTCACGCCACACCCAAACCATAGCAACCTAAACAATCCTTAACCTTATCCAATACATAACCCAAACCATAACAACCACCCAAACCCATAACCTTATCCATATCCTAACCTGAACTGGGAAATGACGCTTCGGCCCGAAGTCCTCGCGAAGCCTTCGCGACCCCCTAATAGAAAATCCCCAAAAGACCATAACCCTGAACTGGGAACTGCTACAACATAGGATTTTGCTAAAACTAACCAGTAAAAAGCTATTTACACTTATCCGTTCATTATTGTATAAAGTTTTGCCGTTCCTTTTGGTTCTTTGTTTCTTGGTTTCTCAGCTCCTCTCTTCTCATCATATCTACTGTTCTTCCGTCTATACTTTCAACAATTAGTTTTCCATTCCTTACATAAGTCGTCATCATACAGTTTTCAATATATGGTATGTTGTCGGTTACGTAATGTATTCATAACTTCATTCTTCATCAAGTTCAGGTCATTATTGATTTTGGTTATTTCCTGTTCGTTTGTATATCCGGATGCTTCTGCCATTAATATATAAGTTCTCAACTCTTAAATGTTTTTTGTAAAATATGTTTTTTGTAAAATACAATGTCTAATATGCTCTCTCTTGGTCATCAAACTTAATCTCATAATATTCTAATGTCTCCTTCTTTGGAAACTGAATATCCTTGTTATTCAGTTTATTAACATATATGCTTCTCTTATTCCTGGAAGCATCGCTATCTTTATCCATTGGTGTTTTAACCTGCTTAGGTTTGTTGATTAATTCTTCAAGTTTTTTCTCAATGACTCAATGAGTTCTAGCTTCTCTAGAATCTGCTGATGCGCTTGATTGGTTTTACAACATCATCGTCACCAGATGCGAAGTCTCGCAAGGCCCTGTCGTGCGACATATATAAAAATTGTAGATTAAAACTTTTTTAAAAGTTTGATGAAAATGCGTTCAAAATCTTTTAAAAAGACATAGATTTTGCTTATAACCCTTCGTGTTATTTAAGCATCTCCTACATAATTTGTTATAGTCTTTGTTTTTATTTAAACTAAGAAAACATTGTATATCACGACATATTTTACAAGTAGGACAATATTTACTATCATTCAATTTACATTCACATTCATATTTATCATTAACGTTGAAAGATACAATAATTTCATCTACATGTATTGGCATATAGTTAATTGATTTTATAATAAAATCATAAAACCAATTCCCATAAGTTTAACAAACTAATTAAGCACTATCTTATGTAGCGCTATTGAATGTATCTCATTACTTCCCTTTCACGAGCTCATCCAACGCCATTATCGGGGTTTTCTTCTCCTTCTTCCAAAAGTCGGCATACTTGCCCTGTCATATTGTAATATAAATGAATCCTTAATCTAATTTAAACTTATATTTGTTTATATCTTCTATATCTTTTTTCATTAAACCAATATCTGCTTCAGTTTTCTCAACACGCTCTTCTAACTCTTCGGGTGTTATTTGACTTTTACCCCATCCTGAATCGCATATTTCAACACTTCCTGCTTGTAGGTTATTATCTGTTAAAAATATCATCGGGTGAGGTATGCCTACCAGCACCAAATTTAGTATTTCTCTTATCTATAACATTTTAGATATATCATTAAAGATATAAACAAGGGATTATTTGATTTAGAGAACATAAGAAGCGGTGAGAAGTTTAACTCGGATAGGGAAACAGTAGATAAACATTTTAGGTATGATTGTTGTATTACTTGCCACAGCGTCCAAGGGGCGACCATAAAAAAAAAAAACAATAACAATACACGAATGGGAGTTGTCGCATTTGGTGTTCCGTGAGTGGTTTTGGACGGCAATTACAAGGGCTGATGACTTTAGAAATGTGAAATTCTTTAAGAACGATACATTTGATAGGGTAATGGATAAGAATAGGATAATGAACTATTTAAATAATAAAGTAGAAGGATACAAGCAACAGGACAGGAAAGCAGGCAGGAAAATCAACGACGAGAATTTTTTTGATGCCGTGTGTGAGAACAATGAGAGGCAACTGCCAGAAATGCGGGAAAGGACTTGAATTGGATGCTAAAAAAGGTAAATTATGTAGCAACGTTACAGCGCAGACGATAAACAATGTTTTATCCCATACAGTGGATAATTGCATTGCTTGGTGCATGTACTGTAATTGTAGCGCTCATTAAATATTAATAATATTTTCATTAATATTTATAAGAGTGCCAAGAAACAAAAATCATTAATGATATATATTTTGACCGCTCGGGGTTTGGGAGTAGGACGACTACTTTGAAAGATGCCCGAAAGAAGGACAAAAGCATTACAGGATGTTGAAAAGTTTTTTAAGAAAAATGTTGAGAAGAAAAGAAAACCCATGGCGAGAACAGTTTTGTAGCTCCCCATGCCCATTTTGAATATCAGTTGCACTTGTTTTTTAATAGTAGTAAAAAATTTAGAACAACAAAAGTTTAGAATAGGTTTAGTGTGAACTGATCTGTTTAGTAAATATGCTACCGTCTTACGTATTAAAAGTAAGAACCGCCAGATGTATTAGCGGGAATAATGGAAGGACTACAAAAAATGGGGGATAAACCGAAGAGGTTTTATAGCGATGAAGAAGGGAGTTTGTATTGCAAACCCGGTATGGAATATTTGGAGGATGAGAAAATTGAGATACATAGAACAAGAGGTCATCCTGCTTTTGCTGAGAGCTTTATACGAACATATAAAGATATGTTGTTTAAGCGGGTTGAAGCAGATGGGAAGAAAAGAAAGCAAAATATACAGTGGATAGGTTATAATTTGGAGATATTGTTAACATATAATAATAAAACGGTTTCATCAGCTACTAAAGTGACCCCATTAGAAGCAAGGAAAAACAAAAATGAATTTGAAGTTAAATTGAATATAGCTTTACAGGCAAAGCGTAATAGAACATACCCGAAATAGAGGTAGGCAATAGTGTTAAAATAATGTGTAAAAAAGGCATAAGTGAAAAAGAACGCACCAGTCCTTGGTTGCAAAACCCCCCAACAAGTTATGCGAATAGATAAGAAACTGAGGCAAAACTACTATTATTTGGAAGGTGATAGTAAAGGTTATTTAAGGCATGAATTATTAAAGCTGTAAAAAACCCAACCAAACATGGCAAGTTGAAAAAGTTGCCTATGAAGATTTTGAATATTTTTTGTATTTTTTTTGTGTGTTTTCTGTGGTTTTGTTTGTTTTAAACTGGGTTTTGTTATGTATTTCAGTATGTGTTGTAAAGAACGTTGATTTTGCGGGTTTAACGGGTTTATCTATGTCCTAAACCCATAAAATTCTCTACATTGGACGTTGTATTTGGGATTTTATGGCTTTGTTCATGTTTGCTACACAGAAAAATACATAATATAACTACTATTAGTGAAAACCTTCCCTAAAGCCCTCCCAGCCATGTGGGGGTTGTTCTTTATTATGGTTGCAGCCCGTAACTCGAAAATCGCCTTGCGCTTCGCCCCTGTGCGCTCTTGCGCGTACAGGGTTTTACACACATTCCCACCTTGTAGCCTTGATAGACCAGCCGGAAAATAGCAAGTCCAGAATCCGGTTTGAAGATTTCGTGCAGGGAGCTTGGGTGGGTTTTCAAACAATTGTCACGCAAGAGGAATGGGGCATTCATTGGTCGAAGTTGGAGGGTTCCCCTTGAGCCGCCCTTGCGCGCGCCTTGCGCGCGGCTTGCGCGCGGCTTGCGCGCTGAACCCTGTGTAAAACTGATTTTGGCTGTTTTCGGATCTGTGCTTAATACAGGTAGTAGCACCGGTCATGATACTAGGACTCCTGCTAGTAGTAGTGATACTAGTAGTAAGTAGTTCTTCCCCTTGCGCTGAACTTGCGCTCGCCCTTGCGCGCGCTTGCGCGGCGTCGTGTTTTACTAGGTCCCAAACCTGAATCCAAATTAAAGTGCGCTGTTAGTCTACGGCAACGAGCCGGGGGTTTAGAACAACTCTCATGCAGTTCTCGGTCTTGAAAAGACCCGCAGTGATGAGCACCTGCCGTGAGGGTGTTTAGGGTTTGGGGTTTTAAGGCTGCGAAGCACTGCCAAAACTGCACATCGCACTGGCACTCCTTTTCCACAGCAGAAACCTCTCTCTTCACTGTTGAATTCGTTTTGTGCTCCATCTCGATTACAACGCAACAACATGGGCTGCATCATCATCTAAGTAAGCGTAGATTTCACGCAGGACACCACCCCTCTCTCCCGCTCCAGGCCTGGCTTCTTGCTTCCTAGAGCGCTTGCAACAGCAAAGCCGGGTCGACCATTTTTTCTACAGGAAGATCGTGACTCAGAAGGCCCTTAATGGAGAGCCGCCATATCAAGTTTTGCCCTGTGTCAGCACGCATCGCTGGCTGAAATCTGCAGAAAGCCGCCTCGGCCATGGCATCCGGGAGGATGCGCTGCTCACACGCCAAAGCGTTAAGGAGCAAATAGCATGCAAAAACATGTTCATTCCCAATTTTTGCTGCCTGCGATATACCAGCCATTGCCAAAAACGCAGCTCGTGCATCAGGTGGACCGTGGAATTCAGCGCGAAGCAATGCAATGTTCCCGGAGTCTGGGCTGAAGCTACTTGCATAGTCAGTGATAACAAGCCAGCCAGTCTCTGGCACAATGTACAAATCAGAGGTGTGACAATCAAAAAGTGGGAAACTCTTGTGGTTGAGATAAAGGACCACTCTGGCCAAGAAGCTCAAACTGTCGTGCAAATAGCCTGCTGACCGCAAGTGATAATGCTCGAGGAACAGGTCATGGGAGGCCCTGGAAGTTGCCGGTAAAAGTTGCCAGACCGTGTATGCATTTCCGAAACTCCAGGTCCAGCCAAGGAGTTGGCAAAGATGCGCATTGGCGAATCTTGAAGCATGGAGGCCATCTTTGGCCACTTCATACTCTGCGCGGCCAGGGTTTAAAAAGGACTTACGTCGTGCCGTTTGCACTGCCACTTGGGCTTGGTCCTTCAATGTGGCCCTCGACACTGTGCCGAGCATGCCCTGCCCAGGCTGAGCGCCAATATGCCGTGTCATGAGCCGTGTACATCACAAGGGTAAAGTGGGAACAAAAGGACCCAAATTGATTTAATATAACGTAAAGAAGGCAACGTATGCACTGCTTTATTATATTAAAATTAGGCCTTTTGGGAACGGTAACAGGAGCCAGCGGTTAACCTTAATTTCCAAGTCTCGTTCGTGTTTCTCTTTTCTTCAGTTTAACACAATGCAATGAGGGGAACGAAATGAGGCGTGGTTTAATTGAACGAAAAGGACACACGAACCCTCTTTACGCTTCCCTTTGTTGCGTTTCCTTGACCATTCATTATAAATTAGTACAAGAGGAATAGGTGGAATGGTCAATTAAACAAACAAAGGGGAAAAAGCGCAAAGAAATGAAATCATGCTTCCGTTTCATTCACTTCTTTCATTCCACTTCATTATATTTCATTCCTTTGGGCTTTTTTACCTACAGCATAAAGAGGGTCCTTGTGTTGCATGTAATTTAATAAAACACAAAGAAGAGAAACGTATGCGTGGTTTTATTTCAATTAAACGAAGCATAGAAATTGGGCAAATGTAGGGTGACATTTTCCGGTTCAGGTTAGGATGTTGGGAATTTTATCAATAGGGTTATGGATCGTTTAGGTGGCTTTGGTTTAGGGCTAGTGGTATGAGGTGGGTTTTAGGATGCTGTTTTCATGATGGGGTAGGGGATGAACTGGGAAATGACCCTAGCTAGCTCTCACTTGTCCCTAAAGTCGGAGGGCCAAAAGATTCCCACATGCCATGGCAGAGACCGCTCCAGCCCAGCAGGACCAGGTCGCAGCGTCCCTCGAAGCGGTTCGCCACACCCCTCGGTTGCACACCGACACCACTGAGGCGACTAGACAATCAAACAACTACTGTAAAAGGGCCGCTAGGTTCTGCAATCCCAGGAGCTGTCCCTCCATGACACCACAGCACAGCCCATGGCAGCCATGTTAGGGGGAAAGATGTCCCTACGACTGGGCTTTCCCAGCGTTTCGATCATGCCATAGTTCTAGAAGTAGCTTGAACAAGCACCAGCAACCAGTACACTAGTGGTGCTTCTTTGTCCTTCTGTCAAGATGCGGGACACGGAAGCAACCCCGAGTGTTTTTTATATCGACGAAGGTCAGCGCAAAGCTGCGTGCTCTTACTCCGTTATAGAGGCATTCGGTTCAGTAAGGCTCGCATAGCTGCTGCGGCAAAGCTTACCCCAAAAACATGGCAGAAAGATGTATGGGGACAATATGAGCCACCAGATGCATCTGTTTTGACTGGAAGGGACACCGACCCTATTGGAGGTGCAAGAACGCCAGGCAAACGGACCTCTGCAGTCTCTGCCGCAGGACACCCTGCCAGAGCCCGCAGATCCTCCGAAGCGAAGGCGAAGTGCAGATTTTGCAACACAGGCTTATGATATTCATAACATGAAGATCCACACACGTGAACATCCCGCAAAGACAAGCGGCCTCTGCACAGAGCAAAGAGCCATATCGCTCGAGGAAGACGTGCATTTGCTGGCTGGCACTGCGTGTGACCTGGCTTCTGAAGTCTTTGCATGTCTTTGCCCGCGAGCAGCCGTGAGCAGAGCCGGGCCCGGCCTCGGCCAGCTGCTGCTCCGCCGTCAGCCGCTCTTCGACGAAGTCCGTGCCTCTCGTCACAACTGTTTTTGTCACCGCCTCTATCGGTTAGAAAAAACGCGGTTTCTAGCGGCTGAGGCCGAAGCCGTTGAACTTCACGGGATGCTTGAACTTGCTGGCGAAGTCCTGAGACTCGCAAGCCCAGAACGCTGCGTGGGCTGCTCTCTTGCACAAGTGACTTGGCAAGGTGCTGCATGCTCCATGACCCTCTTGACTGCCACATCCACCTGGCTTCAAACTCTCAGCCACAGCTTGCATGGTAATTGCAAGGTGCAGGGCGCTGCGGCCACTTGACAGAAATCCCAAACAAGCGTGCACAATTGAAACTGCTCTGTAGTACGCAAAACAGGTGGAGGCTACCGCAGCATCCATCGCTACGCAAGCATCCGGCATGATCCTTCTGCGCAAGATATGGTACTAATTGCTTGACTGCCTGCAAGCTTTCAGTACCTTGCAGTGAAGGGCTACAGGTCATCAACGTCTGCTGCACATGTTTACACACCGGCTGATGCGCTGGCTGTGCTTGTGACTGCCTGATTTCTGCTGCAAGTCATGGTAAAGGTTTCAGGCTGCTGTGCTTCGAATGCAGGATCTCACGGCGGAAGGGTCAGGATCAGCTCAAACCAGTCACTCACGGTCTTCCAAGGAGCAGCGAGCTCAGCAGCTTCCTTCGTGCAACCGAGGTGGAGCTCACGGTGCAAAGTGCTCGTATTGAGCATCATGCATCTAGATGGCCACAGGCCTGCTAAATCAGGCAGGCTTCACTTCGGAAGCAAGGTCATGAGTCCAACGGAGTCCTTTGCCATTGGACACTGTAGCTACATCGGCGATCCTTCTCCAAACTCTTCTGAACACTCACTCCGGCGTCACTGCATCTGCCTGCTCCGGAGCCTCAGCAATCGAGAATACACCAGATTTCAAAGCAGAGGCAGAGGAGCTGCGCGCTGGTCTAAGAGCACGCATCGGGGAAACTCAGCATCGTCGCTTTCATTTTCCTGACGCCCCGACTGCTGCATGAGTTAAGCCCAGCCCCTCCTTGGGCGATTCCGGTTCTTCGTATATCTTAACATCATCATCACCATCACCAATCATCATCATCATCATCATCATCATATATATATATACATACATACATAACGCGCTCCCTCATGTATCTTAAACGCGCCCCCTCATTACATTCTTGGTCATGCTTCCGAAATCCCGCCAGTGCAATTTTGTCAATCCAACATCGGGGGAAAATCCTCATGGCCATGCTATTTGTGTCAAGCCATTGTTGCTTCCTCCCCCAAACACACCTACCAATGAAGGCCATGCGCAAATCAAGAAACAAAGAATAGGTGCCTTGAGTACATGATTAGCGCGCTCTCATCTGGCCGACGGTACTGGTCTCACCCTCTGTTTCGGATAGCAAATCACGGGAGGGTGGCACGTCGCTCTTGAAAGCAGGCCTGCATGGCAAAACAAGCAAAGGGGGATGCCCGCCGCACTTGCCAACAGAATTCTCCAAGAAAGGCTGCTTGACAGAATGTCCATTGAAGGTGCACGATTCTTTGAGGCAGCCTTGCATGGCTTAAAATTAAAAATGCGGGGGAGTTGAGGGGAGCGCAGACCGCCCCCATTTGCAAACAGAATGCTCATAGAAAGGCCGATTGACGGAATGTCCATTGATGGCACGCCATTCTTTGAGGCAGGTTCGCACGGCTTAACAGAACGGGGCGGATGATTGGCTTCTTGGAAAGGCTTCATGAAGGAAAGAAATGTCCGTTGACGGCACGCTGCCCTTTCAAGCAAATTCGCATGGCTTAAAATTTAGAAGGAGCGGGGGGTTGGGGGGCGCAGCCCCCCCTGCACTTGCGAACAGAATGCTCACAGAAAGGCTGCTTGAAGGAATATCCGCGCCATTCTTTGAAGCAGTTTCGCATGGCTTAAAATGAACAAAAAGAGCGGGGGGGTTGGGAGGCGCGCAGACCCCCCCCACTTGCAAACAGAATGCTCATAGAAAGGCTGCTTTTGAATGTCCATTGATGGCTCTCCATTCTTTGAGACAGCTTCACATGGCTTAAAACTTAAAAAAAAGCAGGGGAGTTTGGGGGGGTGCAGCCCCCCAATTTACAAACAGAATGCTCATAGAAAGGCTGCTTGACGGAATGTCCGTTGATGGCACGCCATTCTTGGAGGCAGGTTCGCATGGATTAAAAGACTCCTTTTGCACAGAGGCTTTTTTTATGTGTGCACCATGTTCGCTTTACAGTGCTTGACTTGGCTTGGCTTGTTTTGAGCGGGGATGGGGCGGAGGGAGGGACGGAGATACATACATACATACATACATACATACATACATACATACATACATACATACATACATATATAATCACACACACACACCCACACACACACATGTATATATATATATATTTGCATGTCTCTGTATGTATATAATCATGTGGATATATATGTACATATACATCCTTGTGCATATGCATATACACTTACACATGTGCATATACATCCTCATCATCAACATCGACATCATCATCATCGTCACCGATATCATCCTGAGAAAACGCACGAAATGACAGCTCCGGGAATGAAGGTATCGGCTTGACGGTTTCAACAGATTTTTTTATGCTTACTGTCGGTAAAGAGTGAATGGGCCTAAGTAACTAAGTTCTAATATGTCGAGTACATCTGTAATTATTTAGGATCCTTAGTAAGGGACTCGACTCTCTGGGCTAAGTTGCTGGTCTTTCTTGCTTTAGTTTTTGCTTCATTCGTTTTTTGTTCGTTCTTTCTTTCATTATACATTCCTGTCGTTCTTTCTTTGTGTCTTTCTGTGTTCTTTCTGTCTGCGCTGAATTGCTGTTTCTTTCCGTCGTTCGTTCCTTCTTTCTTTCTTTCTTTCTATATTTCTTTGTTTTGCCCTTCTTCCTTCTGTCCATTCCCCTTTATTCATTCCTTCCTTTCTTCCTTGCTTCCTTCTTTTTTCCTTCCTTTCTTTCTTCCTTCCTTTCTTTCCTTTTCTCTTCCTTTCTTCCTTCCTTCCTTCCTTCCTTCCTTCCTTTGCTTTCCTCCTTTGTCCTTTGCCTTGTATTTTGCTTTTGAAATAGGATTTGATCCCTTAACTATTGTTTGTCCCCCTTAAATAGTTTTTAAACCCATATCCCATCACGGAAAGCCAACACTGGCTCTTTTTCAGCAACAGTGCACTTTGAGAAGAAGATTGCCGAAACTAGCTAACTCTTGCCGTCCTGACGGCCTCCAAAACATGTTGCTTCTCGTACCAGCTCGGGAGCTGGCCACGTCTACACCAAGCACAGCATTTCTAAGATGCTCGTGATCTTCATGCAGCTTGTCCAGCGACTGCCTGCACAGGCTGTCGCAGGATGTTGCAGGCACGTAGACGACAGTACTAGCACATTGCTTCAACAAAACGCCTCAGAGCCAAGCTTTTGTCCATTTGATCCAAGGAGATCCTGCAACGGATCCGTGGCTGCTGCCTTGCTTCTTTTAATGGAACATCCGATGACGTATCGCCTGGTACTGGATTGGCTCATTGACTCAGCAGTCGCCTGGCATTGTGATACTTGGTCCTCGGCGAGCAGGTGTTAAGGTATGGTATGGGTGTATTTTCTGCTGCAACTTCCTTTCCGAAGTTTAGCCTACCCGCTGTCATCTCCAGACTCATGGTGCTAAAGGCTGACCTGACAACTCCATGGACCTTTCGACTTCATATCAAACCTGCTCTTATCTTGGGAACACATGTAAACTTATCTGAACAAAGCATGGATGAAAAAGCTTACGCTGCCAGGGCCAAAGCATTGAAGCTTCGCTGCAGGCTTCCACAAACGTCCTTGCAGCTAGCAAAGAAAGATCTCTTGCTGTCCGATCCCGCGCTCGAAATGCCAAAGTCTCTGGCTCATGCCTGCCAAACCAGCCCAGGCCAGCGGCGTTACATGTAGGTGGCCCTACAATTTTTTGCGGCTGCCTCGGGAAGGTCAAAATGAAACCCCATGTGAAGACCACAGCCAAAGGCCAGAAGGCCGAACCCCGCCCACATGGGGGTTTCCGAAATAGGGGACCCTAATATAGCACCCTAAATAGTAGGATCCTTAATATAAGGACCCCAAGATAAGGTACCCTAATTTTCGGAAAGTTCCACATCGAGCACAAGGAATCTGTCCTCCAAGTGGTCAACGTCGTGCTGATGCTCTGCAGCCAATTGATGGAAAGCTCGGTCTTGCAAATCCAAACGCTTTGCGAAATCCTGTGCCAATGCTCTGGTGAAAGGCACAGGTGTGAATGGTGTGCACTTCTCTGCTCCAAGACACATGACTCTCAACTTGCCTCAATTTGCCTTTCCTGCTTTCGTAGCTCTTCCCGAAATCTTTTGATCAGCTGTTTATGTTCGTTCACACCTCGGAAACGCCAGAAACCGCAGGTTGTACCGAGCACGAGCGTCGTAGCTTGAGTATGCTTGAGTCGAGTGGCAGTCCACGGCTTCATCCATATCCCGGAAAGCTTTCTGCTGGCGAAAAATGGTCTTCTTCAGCATGTCAAACTCCTGCCGTCCACATCAAACTGGCTGCAAAGCGATGGATTCAACACCATAAACGAGCTTTGGAAGATCCGGCCGTAGCTGGCAGCGTTGAAAATATCCGGTGGCTCCATTCTCCGACAATGGACTCATCATCTCTCATCATTGCACTGCTGACCCTTTTGCACGCACACCGCGGTCTTAGCAAAGGATATTCCTCCGTCATCGTCCGGCGAAGGGTGGCACCTCAGGAATCCAGCCACAAAGGCAGCCTGTAAGATGCCCTCTGCCGTAAACCGCCAGGGCACGATCCATCATGGCAAAATCCAGCTTCGTATGGGCTTCGGAGGCCACTGACAAGGCCTGCAGACTGGGCTGCACTGCTCACGCTCGCAACGAGTGAAAAACAGGGCGCACGTGTGCAGAACTCGTGACCCCGCCTGCTGCACCGTGGTCTTGGAAGCAAAAGCCTCCCAGCAACGCTTCTCGTGGCCGGCCAAGTCCGTTTGCAGGCCGTCAATGCACTGGTCGTGAACCTTCCAAAAAACAACTGTTGGATGAACACTGCTGGAATGAAGTGTTAAGACCGTTAAGAACTAGAAACCTGTGAGCCTTGCGCAGTTCACCTACAAAACCTGACAAGGATGCCTAGCCGGGCCTAGCCTTGCCATTGCACTCCAGCTGGCCCACACGCCCCTCGCACGCGGCGACGGACTCCGCCACCAGCACCCGAGCCTCCTCCAGGGCCTTCAAAGGAAGGGCCGTGGCGGTGGATGCAAGGTGGCCCAGGCACAAAATCTTGGAAGCGCTCTGTCTATCTAGTGCCCGCGAGCGTTTGCAGGGAAAAGATCGTGACAGGCTCTGAGAAAGGAGAGACTGCGACATTATCGCACACCCAAGATTCCCATCTCCCGCGGCCTGCAGGGACGTGGCTGCCTCGCCAGCACGCTTTGCCAGCTCAGCAGCAACTCGTGCGTGCTGCTCACCTCCGAAAGATTGCGGCCGTCTTGTGGAGTTTATGTCCAATGATCGAATTTAGCATGATCCCGCGCCCTGCGATCACTGGACCGCAGCTGTGATGCATGAGCATCATCAGCCCGTTTCAAACTGGCTTGCAACCAAAACTGTGAAGGGGAGTTCCTCCTGTTCCACTGATGTTCCCTGACCTGTAGCGGTCGCATTGGC